ACTTGAATAAAATTGTACATTTCTGTTTTTTCTTTGGAAAAATCTCCTTTTATGAGCAACATTCTTATTTCTTTGTTTAGTAAATATAGTAAATGAAAACAAAGAAACATAAATGAAGAGGAGGGCCACCTTTGTATACACTGTGGAAAGATTTTTAAAAAAAACATCTAAAATAAAATTTTATCTACAAAGGAAGTCTCCTCCTCCACCTAATCCAATATATTTCAGATGAACTATGTTGAAGTGAGTGATTTACACAACTTGAAAATAAACCACCTGCAAAGCAGTATTATTCTATTAAAAAAAGTAAATACTCTCATATTTAAAATGGTTACTTATCCTAGAGTACCTGGCTCTCAAAGAGGTCATAGTCAGTGTGGCTCATATTGCAGGTGAGTATGTGCATCATGCACACAACACCTAAGTTTTTTTGAACAGCAGTGCCAACTAGGGCCACCAATGCATTCTTGTGCTCCCATATGAGAGCATAAGGGGTGAAACCACTTCAAATTCCTTCATAATTTAAAGGTCATGCTGCTGAGGACTTTTGAAAAGCAAAGATGGAGAGCAGGCCATGTGATCCAAAATCACTGAAATATCTTGAGGAACCACAATTACCCAGTTTTCTTTGTGTATGAATTACGGCATGCTGTGCTGTGGGTGACAGGCAACCAGCATCTCTCCTGGACAGTGAGAATGAAAAGCTGGATAAGGCTGAAAAGAACCAGGAAGACATCCTGAAAGACTTTCCTGTTAAAGTAATAAAACAAAGCTCTGGGCAAATGCAATGACTGTTCACCATGCTGATATTAGGGAACCTGACTCTGGATTGTAAGGTGTTTTAAGCCTCGAGTCTAAACAGATTCTAGGCACTGCTCCTCAGTCTTGGGGCTTCTAAGCTCAGTTTCAGGAGGCAGATGCTCCTATCCACCTGGGATGTTTCTGAGAGCTGGAACTCACAGGTCCATTACCTTTCTTAAGGTCCAGTCCTGATTCTTTAGACTCCCAGTGTTGTGTAAATACACTCCTTTCCAGAATCCCACGAATGGTGTGAGGCTTCTCATTTACAGTTTAATTCTTCAGAAAGTATGCAACAGATGTAACTAAATACATACCAATATGGAAAGGATCTGGAGTGTTTTGGATCATGCCATTTCTTTTCTTAAAGCACAAGAAGTTATAGATCTTTAGAAAAACCACAAACTTACAAGGCCCAATGCTTCTTACTTGCAGCTTACCCCTTACTTACAATGCAGCTTACCCCTCCCTGGGAGGCTCTGTTGGTCCATCTATGTTGCAGGGGGCAGGCATTCTCCCTGGCTTGTTAGGGTCCTGGAGCAGGTAGCTCCACCTCTGCTACTGAACATGGTAAAAGAGAATGACTTGCTTGCCTTCTACTCCTTTGCAGTTTTTCACTCCCTCTATCAAGTGACTCCCTAATTACCTTCCAATCAGGTGGTCAGAACCTTGCCAGGTGACTTTGATGCCGAGGTAACATAGCACAGCTCCCTGATCAACAAGTTCTTAGCAGGGCTAACTTCTTGTTTAGAGCGATTAGATTTTAAAGGCACAGACTTTCACTTAGCAACGCTTAATCTATTTATAACAGGGCCTGTATGATGGAATAGTCAAGAACAGATGGATGGAAACAGCTAGGCTAAGTACAGTCATTCAGAAAATCCGGGCCTGAATCAATTCAACTGTTACAGGTTAGTCTAACCTGCATAGATTGAACCAAGAAGCAAGTGAATAGACATTCGTTTTTGATTCTGGAAATGCAACCACATACCTGCAGTGGTTCAGGGTAGAAGCTGGGGGGCACTAGAGCAAGCCCTCTTTTCCCTTTGGCAGTGGCCAGAAGGCTGGAGGGAAGCTGAGCTTGGAGGGGGGGAGAGCGGCATGGCTAGGCCCTGGCAGGTTCCTGAGAATGATTGGGGAGGAGTTTAAACCCCCACCCTGCCCTGCACGGTCCCCAGTCGGGGTGTGCCTGGATGGGGAAGAGGGAAAGCAGCCCCTTTCCCACTGGCACAGGACCCCAGCCAGAGTATGCCTGCCAGAAGTGCAGCAACCCCTGTCAGGCATTTCCCCACACTTGCTGCTTGAGTGGCAGAGGGCATGGCCAGATGCCAGCACCAGAGGCCACCTGAGGCAAAGTGGGGTGGGAGGGAGGTTTAATTCCGCCTTCCTCCCCTTTCCGAATGGCATGGGACCCATCAGGCAGACCCCAGATGAGGTCCCATGCCAGTGGAAGAGGGGAGGGAAGAGGATTAAGCCTCCCTCCCCGCACTTTGCCTCAGGCTGCTGCCAGGGCTGGCATCTGGCCATGGCCACTGCTGCTTTAGCAGCAGAGGGAAATGCCTGACAGGACCAGCTGGGGTCCCATGCCAGTGGGAAAGGGGAGGGAGAGGGGATTAAACCCCCTATTTGCCTCACTCTGCCAGCCCTGGCTGGGGTGTGGCCATGCCTCTTGCTCAAGCAGGGAGTGTGTAGTGGGGGGGGACGGGATGCAAAAGCCTGGGAGGGACTCCCCCCCGGCAAACCTTAGCTGGGGTCCAGGGCTGGGGGAGGAGGGGTTAAATCCCCCCCCTTCCATGACTCACCCTGCT